TTAACTCTAGGACAAACACACTTTTTTTTTGTACATTTAGATTACACAATGAATTTCTCAAACCCTCGAATATTTCTTCCAAATATTCTAATAAATATGTATACCTTTCAAATATTTTTTAAGAAGGATTCCACGTATATCACGTATACATTATAAAACCAAAATTCAAATTTGCTTGTTAAATTGCAAAATATAAACATTTAAATGAGAAGAAACATTCAATTTGCTTATTAAACTGCAAAATATAAACATTCCTAAGTAAATCCCATACTAGCAACTTGAAATTTTGTCATAGATGTATGACAATTCTATAGAATTAAACATTTTATCTTAAATATATAATAAATTCAATAATAATAATTATATACCATAAATGCAATAAAATATGCCTACTTTATGTAAGCTAATAAAATATAAAATAGTAATAGTAAAGTAATAGTAATAATAAAGTAAGTAATAAAATAAAGACAGGCATGTTAAATAGACAGATAGAATTTAAATATGGACATCTGCAGACAAAAGACAAGGATGCAACTAAATGCTGGTTCGATTTCTAACCGAGTATATTAAATTTATCATATAAATAAGTTAAATAAATTATATTTAAGTGAATAAATTAATAAATAAATTATACTTAATATGCAGAAATAATTAGTATAAGTCCAAAGAATTCTACTGTAAAGAGCAGTGATAATAAGATCGAGCATGAAGAATTTTTAACTCTGTTAAGTAAAGATTAGCTGAGGTATGGCACGGCATAATCAAACAATGATAGTACGAGAGCTTATGTTACATGGAGTTTTTGCAAAATAAATAAAATATAGTGAAAAAAAAATTAAAAAATTAAAATGTTAAATTACTACATTTTGTTCAAAATAAATAATAACGATATGGAACGTTTCGACTTTCTCATAGCATAGTCTTCATTTACTATCTTAAAGTAATCTGAACGTCTGATGTCATTGTTACTCATTTTGAATTTTCTCAAGTCAGTCGTTCATGACTGAAGGTCGTGATCTCCATTTTATGCGATTATTCGGGAGCGCACGAATGTCCATGACAATCCTGCTCCACTTCTATGATGACTTGTTTCAGCAGGAATAATAACTCCCAATAGTTTGCCATTGCCTTTCGAGAGGTGATCAAAAACAATCTGATACGTTCTGAGTAAATTTGAACTTGAGTCTTTGGCACAGAAAGCAGACGCGTAGCTCTCGCGCCACGATCACATCTATCTCGCTATCTTATACCTTTCTTAAATCAATGTTTATATATAAATCTTAAATTCTCGAAACTAATTATTTGTGATTG